CAGTTAACAGAAAAAACACAATTAACCCTAAGGTACAAGGATAGTCATAGGCAAGTAGGCAAAAATAACTAATAAATTATTGTGCAAAGTTGTCATTTTATATGCAGCTGTCAACTGCTTCAGTTTCATTTTGTCCAAGGTCTGGAAAATGAGTTCAAGATCGGATTCTGCAGATTCAGGGATAATTGCTCTAATAACAACAGACTTCCCTAAAAGTGAGCGTTCTCTTTGGGTCCATTAAAATCCCAGTGAGAAAAAAAAAAACTATTAAAAAATTTGAAAATAGAGTGTAACATTCACCCATAGCTAACCATATATATTACATACATTCACATACAAATATATATATGTAGCTTATATATCACACATTATTACATATACATAGTTAGCCATAGGTTTAGTGAGTCATATCAGCCTTCCACATATATGTTCAAGTAATTAATGTACATGGGCTAATGCTTCACCCTCCTTCATGCTTGTGTAATTTCCAGGCTGAAGTCAGCAAGTGTGGTTCTCCACTGTCTTGTGCCACTAATTTATTGCTGTGGAAAGGAAGCTACCTGTTAGATGAAATCTGGGAAGGAGGTGACATCTCTGAGGTTTCCCTGGAGCTAGACACCGGTCCCTGGTTTTCTGCCCCATCTCTTGTATACATCAAAGCAGTTTGCTCAATTTGTTCCAGCTGGCTGTGATCCTCCCAAGAGGTCCTCAGCAGGGAGCGTAACTCACAATACACCAACCACCCTGCTCACCTGACAGCATCCCATGGCCAATACAACTTGTTTACCAGGGACTGCAAGAGCCAGCTGCATTGATTTTGTGCCTGACAGAAGAATCCTATCAGGGACTTGAACCCAAGCACTTAGATAGAAAAAGATATAAATGTTAGTATGGGGAGGAGGGACATAAAAGCCATAGTTGGTGCTGCAAACATAGTAACTGGGTTGAGATTTTTTCTTTATATCATCATGAATGCTCTGGGCTGTTCTTACTGCATAAAGAATATATTGTTCAGTTACCTTTGCAGAATGCAGCTGACAGAATGTAAGAGCATCTTCTGAAAATTTTAACTTTAGCCCATGATTTCTAATCACATTTCTCATGTTTAGGAGGATATGCCTGGTCTTACTATTGTTATTTCATGTGAATATCCTTGAAAATGCACTTTCATTTCTACTGAGGATGGCCAAAGGATCAGGCCAGGAGCCTAATCTGGATCCCTTGAGCTGGCTGCTGGAAAAGTGATCTATTAGCAAGTCAGCCAGACCGCTCTATGTGTTGCAAGGAGGAGAAACAGAATTTGATTGCATCAAGCAGGGTTTCTTAGGAGAGCTGCTACTCACAGGCAAATGAAACTACAGTCATCTGGCCTATCCACCTAGCTGGGAATGAAAGTGGCCCCTGAGCTGGCCCTCCACCATTTAAGCTATTCACATCTGCCTCCAAACTTAGTTTTAACTTACATCTCTTGACCCCGAGTTGCTTTAGCAGCATTAGATCAGATTTCCTGTCTCTTTTGTAAATGCCATTCTTTTTTCATCCAAGCAGGTGTTCCCAAGCTCCCCTTGATCCAATCAATTACAGAACTTATTTTTCGCATGGCCAAGCTGTGTTTTTCCTTTGAGCTGTTTAACCAGCCCACACCTGCTCTGTGTGAGGTGAAAAGCAGAGAAGTAGCTGGGGGCACTTATTTTCTTTTATAGACTCACAGAGCAAATAAGTGGCCACTATAATACTGTATTTCTCTAACATGTATTCAGAAAGGCACACGCACCTTCTGAGCTCACAGAAGAACACGATCAGAGCTGAAGGGTATCGTGTTCCACTCTTTGTATATGCAAAACTTTGGGCCCTGCTGTGTGCCTACCCACTCACGGAAACTTCCCACAGTGTGATAGTAGTAGTAGCTGTTCAACAGGGGTGAGTCAGTGTGGATGATCTCTCCAAGATGTTTCTATGCATAATACCCACTTCTGCAGAAATATTACACTAATATTTAAACCTGTTTTTTTAACTTCATAATCTTAAATCCATGAAGAATCCTGAACCTCTGAAGAGATAATTAAGCCTTTCTATTGAGAACCAACGCTGATGCCGGTGACTTTCATCACAACACCTATCCTTCTTAGTCTCAGTTTGTTTTTACTTTTAGTTATCTCTAAGGCCAAACTCTTTGGGTTTCTGAGATCTGACCTGCACGAAATCCTGGTGTCATCACTTCCCTCTCGTTATACCCATCACTTCCCTCTCGTTATACCCCACACATGCCCTTTGAGAGCTACTTTTCCCTTGCTGGCTGCACAGCTCTATGCCACTGCCAAGCACCACCACTTCTGAAAGGCTGCGTACTTCATTCTATCTAAGTGCCATTGTCTCCACTGTCTCAGTGCAGTGCATTCACCCCACTAAGTCAAACCTTCTGTGATAGCCTAAGATCCAGCTGCTTCAGCTATTAGTTAGTCAAACGTTCTTTTACTCTGGTCATTTGACGAAAACTCCATTCCTTGTGTGAGAAGTTGTATCAGATCTTGAATACTGCATCCTGTTGTAATGAAGTAATGAGGATGCAATGAAGAAATTTCAACGCTAATAACTGCAATTTTCTGTAAAACTTCTGACCACTCAAAGTTTTCTATTTCAAGTCAATGCATAAATTATAATTTAATGTTATTGTCACTTTCAGTATGTTCCCAGCAGCACTCAGAACTGTAATTTGCCATTTTAGTCTAAATGGAAGGAGTAGCTTGCTTGCACTTAGCCATGTAACCTCATTGACTTCAGTAAAACAAGGCAAGAGGAGACCAAGTCAAGTCTAACTGCAATTATAGTATGTATATAGAACTTTATATTCATTACTTATGATACAATGACAACATTTTGAAGTGAGAGGTTGAAGCTGACCCAATTCCATTAGAGCATAAAGATAAATTTGTTGAAAGAGGCAGGAAAAATATGTTGTGTGTAACAGTTCTGCTATACTGTATTTCGTTTGTAAATATTTCAAATTGGTACTCAAACTAGCAAGTTAATAAAAATTAATCTACCAGTGTTGTGCTTTAGGTTAAAGGATGGTTACAGCATGTTATGGTTCTGCTGTTTAATTAAAATAGTATAAAAGAAAATCTAATGACCTTTTTTAGATGCCCTTTATATGAAGATACAATATATAAAGGCATCCTATATCATTAACCAATAAAGCAGCATCTCCAAGCCAATGTTACACTCATTTTCAAATACTAAATAATGGGTGAAATTCAGGCTTGCCGTATCTCCAATGAAAAGATAAAACTGCTTCAGGCTCTATAGGTAATCTTTAAAGTTTGAATTTGCAGATCCTGCTCCCCTTCCCTTCCCTTGACTCCTACAGCACCCTCTGCTACACTGGCATCATGAGAACCCAGCATGCTACACTATCAGATTTGTTTGTTATAGGAAGTGAGAAATACATCATACCTATTCAAAGACAGTTACGCACCATGTCCACCTGCACTTGAAAATAAAGTTCAGTTAAAACTGCTTCATTCAACCACAAATATAAGACCCTCCTCAGCTAGGTCTCTGCTGGCACAAGAAACTTCTTTGGCATCCCATGCCATTTCAGTCAACTGCTTTCTGTTTTGATTCATAGACCTTTTGTCTACTTTCACTTTCAATGCCATCAGAAATAAAATTTGTCCCTTGTTTCTCTTTTATTTCTATCATACTCTGCTAAAGTGTTTTATAGTTTTTGCAATAAGATGGTAGGCAAAGCAAAGCATGTTTTCAGATCAAAAGAACAATCAGTCAAGAGCCCTATGTCATACAGAGATGCTGAGAGGGATCCTCCAGCACAAGTCTCACAAAATCGTCACGTTTGGGTCTCTCTGTTGATCTAGTAACAGGGGATTAAACTTTCCTTGATCTAAGTAGACTGCAGCACTGAGCTGTTTCAGCTCGCTTCCTAACCACATCTCAGCTGTGCATTATCACTTCAGAGAAGCAGCGCGAGGGCTTAAGACGCCCTAGACTCTGAAGCCCCCACTGAGGGCCACCTCTTCTCACTTTCTAAACTTAGAGGAGCTCTAGGTCTACACATACCTCTTCCAGGGGACATGCAAAGTAGTCATACCGATTTTGCAAGGGCCTCTAAAAAAGGTTACCCTTTTCTGTGACAGAAAGAAAGAAATTTAGAGTCTGGTACTAAATATTAAAGTCTCTTCTTCTCATTCCCTCCCCACTCTGGACCTTCCCCTGGTGTCCCTCTTCCAACATGTAGTTTCTCCCTCCAGGCCGATGATCGCTGATGTACAGGCTGGCAGTGCCATGAAGATAAGCAGCCTGGCACACACCATCCTCAGCCGCTCGTCCTCACCCCTCTCCTTTATGCTCACACATCTGTTTGTAAGGCCTTGTGTGAGCCACTTCAGATAAGCAAAACAGCTCGAGTTGCTCCCTGGCCCAGGTGCCATGCCGCTGCCAGGCAGTGGGGCAGGACAAGGGCAGCGTATGGCATGGAGGGCCTGCAGGGATACCTTCGCTAAGCGTCAGCTGGAAGCGCCCACCAGAGCCTGAGCCAGGAGTC